GTGTGCGCGCGCCGCGGAGAGCCCCTGCCCTCGCCTCGCTCCCCGCTCAGGGCATCTGCGGAGCCTGGAGCCGTGGTCCGGCTTGAAGTATGGCATGTTGCGAAGATGGTTTCTGCCAGGAAGGTACCCGCGATCGCGACGTCCTTCGGAGTCAGTTTCGCTCTCCTGCAGGTGCTGTGCCTGGAGGCTTGGTGAGTTCTCGGGGTGCCGGGGCGCCGGGGGGCGGCGGAGGCGCGTCCAGCCCCGGACCTCTCCCGCCGGCCGCCGCTCCCCGGGCAAACCGGACCCTCCAGCCTCCGCTCTAAAGTCGGGGCCAGAGCCCGGCTTTCCCGCGACTGCGTAGACGCGGAGAGCAGAAGGGCCACCGGATGCAAAGGAGAGCGCGGACGCGGGGGTTCGGGGGTTCGGGGGCGCGTCTTCCCGGCCCATCTCTCCCTCGCCCCTCAGCTCTGCCTCCTTTAGCTTGGGGCAAGCGACTCTTTCCCTGGAAGATAAACCTGTTACCACCTGTTCCCTGATTCTTAAAATAATCCCCTCCGCCCCCGGTGGTGGTTTTTGTTTTTTGCCTTCGCAGTTTAAACGAATCCCCAGGACAGAACCCAAAGGAAGAGAAATTATGCCCGGAAAATTTTACCCGCATCCTGGACAGTTTACTGGATGGTTACGACAACAGGCTGCGTCCTGGATTTGGGGGTAGGAACGATTTCAAACGCTCAAGTGTGTCCTGTCTGTCCCTCTCTCCGTCTGCCTGTCTGTCTGTCTGTGGGACTACCATTAGGTATGACTCGCGTGTAACACTGAAAAATCAACTTCTCTGCATCCCCCCTTTGATCCCCCCTTTGAGAGGAGCCCGCCCCCAGCGCGCTTCCCGCCCGGCCCCCTCAGGAGCTGGGCTTCTCCCCCACACTAGTCACCCCGGTGCCTGACTGCGCGTGGGGAGGCTGGGGGGTGGGGGGGGACTCAGCTGCCCTGCCCTGAGAACGGGGGCCCCCTGAACCTGGCCGTTAGGCTCAGAGCAGTTGCATTTGAAACAGCTGGTCCTGGGTCCCCTGGCCTCCCGCGGGGTGTCAGTCCCGCAGCCAAAGCCTCGGCCTTGCTGCGCCTGGGACGCAGATCTGGGGCACGGAGCGGCCCTGCTGCTGGGGAGCCCGGCCCCTCTCTCTTCTCCGGCGGGAGGCATGTTTCATTTATTAGGGGAGGGGGCATCTGCTTCCCTCCTAAGGCTTTGGAGTCGGAGATGTTTCACTTGTATTTCTTCCTGCAGTAACTATTTATAAAATGCCTCGTAGAGGCGCATCCCTACGGTACTGCTGCTCTTTTTCATATTCCCTTTCCTTGCGTCATGGGGATCTCGTCCCAGGCGCTGTGCTGGGCACTAAGTTCACAGGAATCTCAGGATCAGCTCAGAGGAGACTAGTGGCTTCATCGGAAGTGTGGCCCAGGTCTTCTGACCAACAAGGGCCTGTTTTTTCCATTACACTGAGCTTTACACTTCTCAGGAAATGAGTTGAAGATACAGGCTTTGTCTTAAGGGAGCTTATAGTCTAGTAGGAGTGGTGGTAATAACAATAATGACAACTCATATGTATGTATTTAGATTTTCATGTATATCAGACATTTCACAGGCGTTACTGTTCAGCCCTCACAACAACCTTGAGAGAGTGTTAATACTGTCCCCATTTTACAGATAAAGAAATTGAGGCTTGGGGAGTTAAGTTCACGGTAAGTGGCATGGGTATGATGCGAGCCCAGTTCAGGTTGTATGTTTAAAAGACAAACCCATGCAGATTGGGAGGATATCAGATACTATGGGATGAGTATCACATAATGGGTATTAGAAGCACGGAGGAATTTCAGCTTCCATTTGAGGGTATGTAGGAGATAAGATGGTGGGAAAATGGAGAAAGTAAAAGGGAGCAAAGTACCCCTGTGAAAGAGCACAGAATCAGACATGATTTAGAAGGAGTGTGGTCCCGGGTTACAAAGATCTGTTGGAGAAAAACTAGAATTGGATAAAGTGGAGCTGGATGATTCTTTGGAGTCTAAGTTTTGTTCTTCTCAGTTGACAGAGACACTGAGGATTAGAGAGGGAAAGAGATTTATATAGGGACACAGCATATTGATAATGACAGGCTGGAGTCAGGCCAGGTTTTCTCATCCAAATCACTCTTTTCTGGATTTTATGAGAAGGTCATGGGGAGCCATTGAGGGTATTAATTCATTCTTTGTGTGTTGACAGTGATAAAGATGAGTGAGAAGGGTAAGAGTTTCTGGTCCTTGTCACATTGCCTCTCCAGGGGTACACTGCTCAGCACTGCCATGGCCCTTAATGCAAATCTGAAAGGAGGCTTTCTTACTAGAGTGAATCATTTGTCAGTGCACAATCTTTCATATGTGGGAAATTATCACTTCAGAGCAAAAATAATTCTGTGGAGAATGTTTCAGGTGATGTGATACCATTTAAATCTATATTATAGCAACAAAAGTGGATTTATCTGCTCGTAAAGGTTTTAAACTTGAAATTTCCAGTAAAGAAAAAAAATAACAGGAGTATCAAATCACATGTTGTTTCAATATTTATTAAAGAATTGATGTACCTGAACATAAATTAAAGTGGAAATTTATAATTGAAACTATATGGTCTTATTATTAAATGTTGAGAGCTAAAATAATACCTGCCCAGTTGATTCTGATACAAATTATAATTGAAAGGGAAGAAGGGATCCACTGTACATGGGTCCTTTTTACCAACTACCCTCTTCCATAATATTATACAGACAGTAAAATGAGTGAAATCAATCTCTGTAAGCCATTATTGGATTTTGGTCAGCTGCAGTACTGCTGAAATGTCTTAACAGCATTATTAGTCATCTCGTCACTGCCAAGTGATCTGCTTTACCCACCTGGAGATGCTTTTTATAGCTTTATGGGAAGGGGTTGAATTCACCTTACTTCAGGTGTTAACAGTTGATTAATCAGTAAAAATTTACTGTAGCACGATTTTTTTTGGCCTTGCTCATAAATATTTGTGGTAAATGTGATTCATTTTTTAGAAGTGGGTCATTCTCTGTAAATGCGTAGTATTCCAAATGTGACAAAGGAATAGTAATTCTCACCTGCAGAAAATGTGTACTCTGTTTACAGGATGTTGTAAATGAAATATAATTCACTGAGAGTAATAACAAGATGCATTCTTAGCATAGACTCTTGGATGCCACAAGTTTGTTCCCATTTTTGACATTTTATACTTTGTGAAAAGTTTGGCATTTTAAAAATAAAATGAAAACAACTCCGGTTTTGGCCAGTATTCTATAAATATGGATCTACTTCCTGGTTCCTTTAATCCTACCTTTGCTCTTTGTGGAGCATTTACTTTATATCTGTTTATACAACTCAGCTGTGTTCCATTTAAAGTAAAGCTAAAAGCAAAGATCTGAATTGAAATGGGATGGTTTGTGATTGCTCAGTAGGCCAGGCAGGGGTTGAAATAGATTTAGAAACTAAATTACATATTTTTAACTCAGCAGCACAGCTTGCAATGGGGGAACTAAAAGGAGCTGAAATAGTTCTCTTCCTTTCATCCCACCAGGATCTCCTCTCCCTTGTTTTCCAAGTTCTCCAATTGGAGAAGGGAAAGGGGAAAGGTGAGAAGGGAAGGAAGGAGGCCTGGGGCGAAAAGCTGGGTTGGGACTGCTGGCGGGGTGAAGGTCTTTCAGCCTCCCACAGATCAGCCCGCTAGCATCCTGAAGTAGCTTCTCCCTGCTTAGAAGTGGCACACAAGCAAACCCTTCCACAAAGGAGCTAGAAAAGCAGCCCCCTGTGCTCTTAGCCACTTTCAACACTGCTATACATCTCCTGAAAGATACATAGCTAGGGTACTGACCATCAGGAGACAGTTGAGGGAGCCATCCCTTACCCATTTTCCACTTACTAAAGGGTTACACAACCCTTTGTTCATCTCAGTCTTTTGACGCACATGACTTGGAATAATAAATGCTTCAAAGACAGATGATTGCCTTAGATCATCTTTCTCAACCTCTTAGAGATAGAAGTGGAGCATTAGGGCCAATTTTGCAAGGTTGCTCCCTAACATAGTAGGATTTCACATTCGTGGAGTCCTCTACAGTTTTGGGAACATTTTCACATACAATATCTAATGAGATTTATTACAACAACACAAAGAAATAAGCAGGACAGGCATCATTTCTGTTAGGAAGGAGGCAGAGAAGAATTTCAATGAATTGTCCAAGAAAACCTGAACTAGTAGTTGACAAGACCACAACCCACACCTCAGTCTTTAAAACGTTAGCCAGGCTGCTGCTGAATTGCTACATCCACTTCTAAGGCTTTCTTACATCCTTCTGTTTACCAAGAGTCAAATTTTCATTAACATTTCTTCTTGTTACTAAGTAAGTAGGTCATTAAAATAAGCAAAACTACATTCCCCCCAAAGGAGTGAAACGAGAACTTTTATTTTAAAGCTTTAATAACATTTTAAAATGGAAAAGTCAACATGGAGAAGTGTGTACACTTGGGTAAATTTGGAATAACTTTTCCACACAAATGAAAATAGCCTTACAATGTTTTCAAATAATCTATATCCCAACCTAAAAATTGAATATATTCTCTGTTGGCATTTAATTAATCAGCTTTATTAATTGAATGTCAACAGAGAATATATTAAAAACTATATAGATGAAAAGAACTCTTCATATCCAGCTTCATTCTCTTCTAATTTGTCATTTCATTCATTCATTTATTCATTCATTCATTAACGAACCAGTAGATATTTAGAAACTACTATGTGTCGGCAATGTTAACAGCTAAGCAGTGTAGAGGGATAAGAGTAACAAAGATACACAAAACAAAATAAAGATAATGCTCTGGAACAATTCAGTAGCATGCTAAGAACAGAGTAAATAGAGTGTGGGGTCTATTTCCATGTGGTGGTCAAGGAAGTCTTTTAAGCTGAGACCTGAAGTTGCCAGGCATGGAAAGGGTAAGCAAAAGTTGTCATGCAGAACAACAACAGAAAAAGGCAAGTGCACAGATCCTAAGGCAGCTAATAGATTCATGTGATGTAGATAGTGAAGGAGTTCAATGTGCCTTAGCCAGAAAGCAAGAGGGAATCTCGCAGGACTGGCTTAGGATGGTAAGCGAAGGCCATATCAGGCGAGACCTTTGAGGATCTGTAAAGGAGCTTAGATCATTTGTTTAGTGAACTTGGAAGGCACTGGAGTTTTTTAGGTGGAGGGAATAGCATCGTCTGACTTAGACTGTAATGTGACTCCTCTGGCTTAAATTAAAGAAAGGCTTAGATAAAGAGGTGGGGCGATATTGGAAGCAAGGAGACAGATGAAGCTCCTTTTTGGTTCTTTCCACTAAATTAATGTTGGCTTGGAATAAGGTGGTAGGTGTAGTAAAGATGAGTATAAGTGGATAAAAGTGAGATATATTTTGGAGGTATAATTCAACAAAGAATTCTCATGGCTTGCATATGGGTGGTAAGGGAAAGAGAGAAATCAAAAATAACCCCTGGACTTTTATTTTGAGAAACTGGGCAGAGAATGGTGTTACTTAAACTGGAAGGACTGGAGGAGGAACAGTAAGGGTGGGGGTAAAATCAAGAGTTCGTATTCGTAAATGTTAAGTTTAGGATACATGTGTAACATCCTCGTGGTTGTACTGGTCTG